GTGGACCACAAGATCTAGCCAGCGCAGCCGCTGTTTTTTGATTGGCTGAACTATTTCAATGTTGCCGTATATCTCGTAAAGCACATAGTTCCATCTGCTGCGGTATTCGCCAATAACAGCACGTAGAGTATTATAAATCTTACGCAAAACTTTTCTTCGGCGATTCATCAGATGTTGACATCATCCATGCCTTCGCACCACATAGCAGAACCGGAACGATAAACGACTTGTAGAGAGAGGACTTTACTTTTCAATTACCTACTCCGTCCAAAGTAGCACTTATTGGTAGGAGTGATTCTGTATTTGATTTCAAGGCTAACATGGTTCCAACATAGACGAAATTATCTACGATTTCAAAGTTATGACTGTCAATAGTGACGTGGCTGCCGAGTCGCGAATGCTCTGACGCTTTGTGTGATGACAAGAGATACTTCGTCTTGCCTTCTTTTACTACCTTCGCTTTCTTATCCAGCCTGGAGAAAGGAGAACTCATACAGTTGTTGAAGTCAATAATGTCAATATATATTCTCTATTCAGCTCTGCAGCCCTCATTATTTTCTCCGTTTGGTATCGAATGTAATTAAGCTTTTGGATTGTAGTCAAGCTTCAGTGCTGCTTAGGTAGGCCAAAGTTGGTGATGAGATCAAACAGTGAACTTTTTTATGAAAGCTTGGAAATTTACTAAATAGAAAATTATTTTATAGACAGTGGTTCTCTTTGGAGTACTCGTTCTTTCTCTTCAAGTACACATTACAGTCTGACCTGGGACACCAGCGAGTTTTCTCCGGATTCATACTGAATGTCAAAGTGCAAGTATGATTTTACGTAAGAAGTGCGAAAGGAGAAAATCAGGCTGCACTGCTTTGGAATGACAATGCAATCGCCGAAGTTCGACACATGCGTTGCTTGCGGCACATCCGCTTAGTCTGGTCGAATACCAAATGGAGACGGCAATGCTTTCAAACAAACACACCCATATGTATGTAGGCATGTATGTATGTATGTAAGTATGTATGTAAATAAATGCACACCCACACAATGACGGAAGAAAGATGAATTGAATTGTGAACCGCAACGCATAAAACAATCACTAACAGACCACGGACAAAAGGCATAAGGATATGTGTGGGTGCGTAATGTATGTGTAAGTGGCGAATGCATTCGTATGAAGGAAATGGCGAAGACGAATGGATGACAGTCATTCAAAGTATGCGGACACACACGAACAACTCTTGGCCATATTTGAAAATTTTTGCTTAAAAAGTGCACAGTGCTGAAATTAGGTTTTTGGAATGGGACTTTAAATTTATACAACGAATTTATTGTTCCGTTATATCCAATAAACAAAGATAGTTTTATCAGTAATTGTCTCACTATAGATTAATTTCAATGTTTTAATGGCAATATTTTGTGCTTTTGTTATTTGTTTTTACGAAATGTCTTTGAAAAACCCCTGGAGTACGAACACTTAAGTGTGCCACTGTATCTGTTTAAACTCGATTGAATTGCAGAGATTATCCTCCCTCGCAACCTACACAGCCTTATCCAAGAGTACATTGCATTTCCTAGATGGAAATGAAAATAAAGTTGTCAAATGTGGCAGTCGGGCAGTAACGATTTATGGTCTTCCTTCGATGAAATTGATGTTGATGAATGCAAATGCTTTTGGATGTAAGTTGACTGTTGTTTGTAGAGTTATGTATGTATGCATGTGGGCATAGTTCACATTCGCATCCTTTGAGGTTCATTCATTTCATGCTATAGGCGTTTGGTAAATCACTGTGTAATTTATGTATTGTTGCCTGTAGACAAAACAAATCGAAATTGTCGTTTACTCACTGCCACCCAAAGTCTCATCGATTGATTGGTGTGTTTGGAAAGGGAAATTCGTTATTCAAGTGCAAAATGTGAGTTTTATAAATTTATGTTAATGCACCACAATGAACACCAACCTTTGTTACGTACAAAAATTAAATCTAAATAACAAATTTTAATAAGTAAACCCACGCACCAGCCCATCGAGTTCAGAACTTCCCAGGTGTTTCATTCACGGTGCCGATCCTATACATATTTTTCCCGGAAATGGTGACTTGTTTGCTTTAAGAAGTTTTAAACCCCTAAAATCAGCAAGTAGCGATTACGTCTTTCCTGCTATATTGAACTTATTAGGCACCAGATATGGCACAGTCGGCTAGACCTTTCCGGCTACTCGGCTACCGCGACCATTGCAACAACTTGTGGTATTAATAAGGCACACTTCTACTTATCGCCTGATCACTCGCTATATTTATGTTCCATTAACATTTAAATCAAAAACAGATGTTGATAGATAGACAGACAGACAGATCCGCTCCGCTCGGTATTCGGTGGGTATCTCTCTTCGCTACTTACATACCTTGGACGCAAATATATAAGTTAATCATTTCAAGAAACGAATAAAAAGCGAGCAAAATTGTAAACTGAAGTAAAAATATTAAAAAATTTATTTAGATCAATTTACACAAAAATTCCGTGATGCCTTTGTTCACATACCAAAACCATTCAACTCGGCTCACGACGAAATCCAATTCTAATTATTACACTATTTCAATTAAAATTTCATACGAAATACATAAAAAACTTTAGAGTTTAGGTAGTTATAGATTTTATAATGGAGTTCAAACTAAGATCAAAATTGATTTGGGTGATACCTAATAAGATACAAGAACTACGCAACCAAATCGAGAAGAAGAACAAGCGAAGAAATCACGCTGCATTAGAGGTTAATAAAAAAAGGACGATATTGCAAGCATGGAAATAAAGCCTAAGCATAAGGACCCACATGTAAGTAAAGCTCTTCTTACGGCTTTTGAATATGGTGCACTGATATGGAACTCCAATTACCACTTTTATTCCGATAAGTTAAGATCTGTTAAAAAACAATTTTTACTTTGTGCATTAACACATTTCCTATGGAACTCCACGACAAATCTTCCTCCCTATGCCAATTGTTTAAAGCTTCTATATCTACTTACTCTCCCAAGTCGCAGAGATCTGTTAGGTGCATTGTTCGTAGTGAAACGTCTTAAGAGATTGCATTGGTTTTGAAACTTCATTTTTTTTTTGATAATTTTTTGTATAAAAGTACAAAAAGTTAGGAATATTTTCCCCTAGTTTCAACTCGATCCAAACGAAACTGTAGAAATTAGAGAGTTTTATAACCCGCCGTCTTTGTCATGGCTTGGCCGATGGCGACGCTTTAAACGCGTTTTTCTTAAAACTATATTATCGAAATTTGTAGTCGAAATTTCTTAACAATTATTGAAGCGATCGAAGTCAAATTTTCCACACTTCTTTTAAGCATGTTTTTGTAGTCCCTGAACGAAGGATTTATTTTATCTTTGATTTCAGCTCATTTTACAAGCCAATATGTGGCCTAATCTTATGCAAAAAAAATGACGTTTTTTGTAAAAAATTTTAATTTGTTTAATTTTTCTTCGTTTAAAGACATAAAAAGGTGAACTTTAAGAAAAAATTTTGATTTTTGATTTCAGATAAAAATTGAAAAAGTTATCATGACTACCGTGAAAGCACTTTCCTGTGGACGGTGTATTTCCCAACAACGCCAACGCCTTGGCTTATACTATTTTCCGATCAAATTTTCATCAAATGTTGTCCACATTCTGTACTTTTATATGTAAACAAAATAAATTGCATACTTTATTTAGTATCTTTTAAGAAAATTAGAGAAAATAAGTTTTTTTTTTTTTGGCTTTTAAGACCTATGTAACCCGTTAGCGGATCTATTAGTAGTTTTTGGTTCTTGTCTGAGGTAAGCTTTAATGTTCCAACTCATGTGTAGATAGGCATTTTAGGCCTTTACTATTAAAGTTATGAAAAATAAATGAAGAACTGATTCTTTTCGCCGATTGTGTCACAATATTAATTTCATTCCAGCACCTTCGATCTCTCAGATTAATTTCTTTGCATCAAATGCACTATTCTCGCTTCGCTCAACAATTAAATTTTAAAGTTGTTTAATTACCAAATTTAATGTTTTGATTAAATATTTTTTTTTTCTTTAGTAGAACAGTTTTAAATCACTGCATTTAACAAACGATTGTCAATCATGCGGATGTCGTCTCTTGGTGCTGATGGTTGCTTTGCTACCATGCGCTGTTGCTGATTTCTTCTGTTCATGAATTTATTCGTTTGTTGGCCATCCTTCAATGTTCTACTTCTTCCGAACTGAAATTTATCTTTATTGTTGTACCCTCTGTTTTATGTATTTGTGTACATAGGAAAACTTAAATTTCTGTGTTATATGTGATGTTATCATTGATCTGTTTTCTCTGTTGGAATTCTTGCCCAGTGGTCTGTGTAGCCACACTTATTCTCATACTTCTTGGTCGATTTTCTATCTTTTAAATTAGAGGAAAATGCTGGTGACCTAAGCATATGTGAAAAAGTTAATCAAATATCCTATTATTAAATTATATTTAAATTCGGTATTATCATATATACAAGCCAGTGGTACTCACCAAAGCTTCACAATTAAATACGGGTAATGAAATGAAGTTTATTCTGCTCAAACTTGTTTTATTAAATTACATTTTTTAATCAATAAAATTTGCTACAGTTCATGATTAAATTATGCATTTTTCGTAGTAAAATTACCTGTTGACCTGCGGTCTTGCATTGAAACACCACTGAATTCAATTATATTGAGAAGATCAAAAAGGACCAGGATTGCGGATAAATACATAAGAAATTTTTTAATTGCTTTTTCTGGTTAACTTACTGAACTCTTACTAATCCCCTCATATATGTAAATAGAGCACATACTTTTACAGAATAAAATGAAATATTGTTTCCTTTGAAATATCCCTTAGAGAGAAGGCTGAAAATGTGTTTAGATATCTGTGAACTTTACTGGATTTCACATTTTAATCTGCTCTGAATTAACCATGGATAATGTAGTTTATACTTCTCTCCGCGTCCGTTATTCAATAAAACACACATTTTACTTAATAATTTGTATCGTTTATTTCAGAAAATGTGACAATTTTATATAACGCCTACTCCAGACAATGAACGTGAACAAAAGCAAAAAATCAAACATTTGTAAAAGCTTTCAACAAGGATATTTCTTAATATAATTTTCTCTTCAGAAGACTTCACAACTTACAACTTAAACTTGATGGCACGCAAGATGGGATACTTATCGCCGGTGCAAGCACCACGGAAATCATCGAATGACAAGTCAACCAAAGCGACGCCACCCAAACCTCTGGACTTAACAAATGCTGCTTTGTTGGCTGCAGTGTCGGGATCATCATAACCCACCCAAATGCCATTTTCACCACTGTCATCAGCCGAACGGTAAGCATAGTTACCGAAACGTTTGGTGGGGTCACCAACCTTACGTAGTGGACCATCGGCACCCTTCAAATGCTGATTGGCAGGGTTTGGTAATTTGCCGCACACTTCGGGCCAGCTGAGCAAACCAGGTTTTTGTGTTTGAGTACCAGCTGGTGCAACACCATCAGTCTCAACCACTGGTGGTAAACCAGTGAGACCGGAATCTTTCGTCATTTTCCATGCACGTCCATAGGCGGCAATACCAACATTGATCTTAGTGGCAGGGCAATGGTTGTTCAACCAATATTGCACTTGGAAGTTAATGTTTGATTCGGGATTGCGTTCATTCAATTCATAGATTGGTGCTGGGAAGTCGGCAACTTCAGGGTTACGTTCAGGTGTTTGGAAATCATAAGCGTGCAAATTGACGTAATCGAGATTGTTCACAATAGCGGGGACATCATAAAATACTGCAAATAATATCAAATATTAAAATAAAGTTAAATTTTGAAAATCTTAACACAACTTACATGACGAGTTCACATTGGGTAGAACAGAGAGACCCAAGAGATAGCCATCGGGACGTAATGCATTTTTCAATTCACGCACCAGCGCAGTGAACTCCTCCTTATGTTCCTCGGCTTTCTCATCGACCACAAAATCGCCGGAGAAAATTTTCTTGAAACCCTTCCAAAATTTACCAATACCGCTGTGCACCTTCTTGGGCTTGTTTTTGGGGAACTGCCAAGCCAAATCAAGACCATCAAAACCGTAAGTCTTTACCAGCGAGTGGGCGCTATTTATGAATGGTATGCGAGCATTGGCGCTTTCCAAAAGCGTCAAATATTTGTTATTGTCGGGATCAACTTCATCTCTATCGCCGCCAACGCTCAACAAGACCTTCAAATGTGGGTACTTCTTTTTGAAACCAGTCACTGTACGGTAAAGACCAGCACCGATATCCAGATCGAGTTTATCATTAGGACTGACGAGTTTGTTTGATGTCTGACTGATACTGGCATAGCCGTAGACCAGGTGAGAGCAGAATTGTAATGCGGGTTCAAGATCGTTTGTGTGTAATTTGGAGAGACCTACGGAAATGTAAAATAAAATAAAATTAAATAGAGGAAGTAATTGAATAGTGTTTATTAAAAACTAAACAGGTTTTGACGTAATTCAACCGTTGCTAAAGTGCGAAAGTGTTGTAAAAGATTTTACGTAAATGATGACTAAGCGCAGGTGTAATTATTGATAATTGACTGAATGACAGAATGGGAGGTGAAGTGCGACATATCGTCACCGTCAGGCTGAACGTGCAAATAAATTTTATATATATATTTTTGTGTACATACATATGTATGTATTTGCTCGTATGTTAATTTGTGTATTTATAAAGAAACTGCGAAGCTGCGGGAGACAGGTAAAATGCATATTGCGAAAAAGATGTAGCAAATAAAAAAAATAATAACAATGTGAAATGGATTTCTCAGTATTTGGTTTATTTATTATTTTATTTTTTTATTTTTTTTTTGCTTAAATAATTAGTATCATCTGAATGCAAACCAATCGCCCGCACTTAAGCTTAGCGGCGCAGTTGACAAACAATGGATTCTCTGTGGTTATAAATATGAAAATTTTGCGATTGTCTAGGGGGTTTTAGCATTGCATATACGATTTTCTCAGAAGCAATCACACATTTGAATTCCGTTCACAAATTGTGAATAGAAATTTAGCCATTTATGTATTTTTATAAGCATACTTGTTCCATGTACATATATGTTCGTATACATATTTTTGGCTGTCCGGGTCGTTTTCCATCGTCTGAGTCGAAATTAAACCGTGCAAACCACTTCTGGCACGTTGGTTCGGCTAAAGCATGGTCACCATAAACGTCCAGTAAAAAAAACGATGGCTTTTGGTGGCACTTTTCTTCATGTTAAAGTATTGAAGAAGAACTCCCCACTTTATCTGGTACAAATTTAGACATCTTCAAATGAATGAAACAAATTGTTGTTCTCGCTAAAACAAATGATATCTACTGAAAACGACGCGAAATGACAGTACTTTTGAAATGAACATAGCCACAGATGAACACGAAGCGAAATAATACTAGTAGAGCTCTGTCTTAGAAAACCGCATGAATTATTGCATGTTGGCATTATTTAAAAGAAAATAAAAATAAAAATATTAATAATAATAAAGACACAAACAGTTAGCATAACTAACTTGCTAGATTCGAGCTCGTTTTCTCTTCTAAGAGCTATCGATATGATAATACTTCGCAACGCCAAATCGGCGATCTCGAAGAGGGATCGTACGACTAAATTGGTATAGTTCATCGAATTAATATAATAGATAACAGTTATACTGCAGTAACTGTCCGGACTGCCCTGCACAAGGGACAGATCGCGCAAGGTCACGGTTATGCTTGCCTCTAACGCTAATTAGCGATATACTCATCAGTTGCTATAAATTCTGCGAAAAATGGAGAAGGAAATTACTAAACCATTTAAAGCTCTTGGTGAGTTAGAGGAACCAATGTAGACGGAATGAGTATTAAAATCATTGCATAAATATCTGAAAAGGTCGTGCAGATCAAAATTTTCTCTGCATGAACAGAATGAAAAAATCCCTAAATATCTAGATTACCTTAAAGGGATGGTAAAATTAAGCACGCTTTGTAGGAATGGGATATTGACATCACAACAAAATAGTCAAAAATAAAACACCAAGCGTCGTTCTATGGAGTAGATAGATTAATGAGCCGCACACAATTTTTGTTAGGAGGGGGTTTTTCTTTTCATTCTAGCTTAAATTTCTTAACGAATTCAATTTATCACTATACAACGAATTCATTTTATCCATACAACTGAGCCATATTCCAAAATGGTAAAGAGTAATTTGATTATGTAAGGGTCCTTGAATTGCTTAGCCCAAAATTTAATGAAAGCTACAACTCCTTTTGCCTTATTAGCACAAGCATTTATATGATTTCTAAAATCAAGTTTTGGGTCCATTGTGATACCTAAATCGACGAAGTCAGTAACTTGTTCAACATAGTGATTACGTATCGTTGATTTGCTGGAGAAACCCATATAAATATGTGCACATATTGAAATTTAACTAAATTATTTAAGTCAGGTTACAAGAGTTTTCTATCTTCAATAGAATAGACTAATTTGAAGGCCTTGACATCATCTGCATACATGAGTGATTTAGAATGAAAAAACATATAATATTTGGAAATTGATTGATGAGTAATAGGGAGAGCAAGAGGCCGAGATGGCTGCCTTCAGAAACACCAGATGTTGCAGCTATTTCACCTTATGAACATCATTTTAAAATTGCTTTTCGTTTTCCATCAAATAAAGGCCGATAAAAATCCATTTGAAAAGTGAAGGAGGAAACTCGAAATTATCGAGTTTAAGGTGAAGTAAAGAATGAGAGACATTTGTAAATCCTTTGCTGAAGTCAATCTAGATAACATCAGTTTAATAACTATCCTTTAAACCATAACTGACATGGGTGATGAATTCTAACAGGTTTGATATTATAGATTTGTATTTCCAAAACCTTTGTTATGATTTATATATAATTGATGGTAAAGAATGGATTAACTGATCTATTATAATAGCTGCAAACATTTTATGAGATAGAATATAACTTTGCTATCCCTCTGTAATTACCTATAGAAGATCTACTACCAAATTTATGAATAAGTAAAAAATGTGACTCTTCTTACAAGTTACAAGAGCTCTCTATCTTCAATAGAACAAACTGATTGAAAGAACTTTGGTGTTTAGAATGAACAACCATATTTTGAAAGTGTTTGTTGAGCATGAGGGTAACTATATTCAACAGTTTTATGAATGTAGAATTATTTTTTTTTATAATCGAGGGAAATTTACATCTCCAAATTTAGGAAAAATGAAATGTTAACTTATTGCTCTTTAAAAAATGGGCCTCTGGCTAAACCTCATTAGTGCAAAGAAATTGTGCATTTAATGCACTTATCAATCTAACTTGACTTAAGGTAGTCTAATAGTATGGTTTGGAAAAATTGACATTACTGTATATATATATTAGGAATACACTGTACAAATTTTAGAGCGAAATTCGGAATATTGACGAAGTTAAAGCACCTAAACAAGAGCGTCTCGTAGTAGTACGAGTTGAGCCTCAGGCTACAAAACTATTGTTGAAACTTCGAAAAACCACATTCTTAAGGTCGGCACAGATGACAACAAATTTTCTATCCAAACCGATTTGTATATGTTTTTATTGCTCAATATAGGTTTCAATATCGCTAACTTTCCATTTTCCACTCCAATTTCTACTTAAAAAATGATCATGTTTCCTTAGAAGTCAACAACTTTTTTTTAATTTTTCAACGGACTTGATTAATTCTGGCTCCAACTAGAAAGACAAGCTCACAGAACAATAATTTATATCATTTTTCTATTTCAGATGTACTCCACATCATTGTCTCTAGGTAACTTCCAAGGCGAATATATAGATGGTGAAGTTGTCACATCATATGATTGCTTGTTTTTCCTTCCATTTCAACAAAATACATGAGATATAGGTTTTGGAATTACATATATATATATATATATATATATATATATATATATATATATAGCCGCTGAAGCGATTTTCGACCGAGCTCCTCCTCCAATTTGTGGTTTTGAGTCTTGATGTTTTCTTCAGCAAATGGAGGGACCTATGTTTATACTAAGCCGCCTGCGAACGGCTGATGGTTTTCTTATGAGGAGCTTTATTTCATGTCAGAAATACACTCGGACGGGTTGACATTACCTGCCGAGGGGCGCCCGCAGTTAGAAAATTTAATTTAATCTTTTATTTTATTTAATTTTCAATAACATTTGGATGTTGGTCGCACGGGGATTTGAACTCGAGCCTTCCAAATGGCAGTACACAATGCTAACTACTCGGCTACCGCGGCCTCCTTTTGGAAACAATAAATATCAAAAAATATATTACAAAGAAACTGTTTTAATTGTATTTATTCCTAGCAAAATATTAAAAGAGAAAGCATAAAAAAGAATGCAAATTACCAGACTACTCCCTCAATGCCTGAAAGGTAGTTTTTATTTTGATTTCGTGCTCTCACTAGCCTATGAAAATTATAACTAACTAAGTTAAATTGATATATAATCTTTTTGACACAAATTTGGGTGCTGCCACGTTTAATTGAATTTATTTTTCTTCCCAAAATTTGTTCAATTAATGCGATCGTCTCTGGCCAATATGACTTCGATTGCATATTTTGCTATTGTATTACGTAAGTTGCAATGCATACGTATTACTTGTAGTGAACAATAAATGCCAATGGCATTGCCTGCCACACCCTATTTAACCCTTCTCCAATTTATAAGCTTTTTCGAGGAAAAATATATTTGCGCTTTTTATGTTATTTTATTATCTTGAGACAATTGATTGCTTATAAAAATTCAACGCCTCGACACTGTCACGTAGCTCAATCTTAATTTCAGCTTATGATGTTGTTGTATTTAGCTGACATTCAACCACATTAGGCATAAGAGATTGATTTGTTTACGAACGCCCACGCAGAGTGAAAACAAGTTCAAATTTTTTCTAGGAAACATTTCAATTGAAAGTAATTGATCTCACGAATGCTCGTTATGATATAATTTAGAATATAAATTAAATTAATTTTTATTATTTTTTTAAGAATTTTCGTACATACAGAGCCACAGATCACATATATATATATATATACATATATATATAGCAAGCATAAAAAAAAAATAAAAATTATCACTCTAACATATTATATGTGTTAAGCTCAACTTGCTTAACTAGTTGTGGAATATTTTAAGAAAGAAAATATTAAAAAATTAATTACCTGCTACCGGTTAATTAGAGAAAGTTACTAACAGCATTGCAAATTGATTTCAGTGTATTACCGTCATCTACGTAAATAAGCGAATATTTTTTTTATTTGCCTATCACAGTTGACTGCGAAAATATCAAGGCTTATTGTTGTCGAATTTCAGGTGATATGAATAATAAAATCTTACAAAGAGTTTTTTTTCTGTTCATTAAAATTCATATATCATAAATTTTACTACGTGTGTGACCGGCTTATAGAGAATTAAACAAATCTCAACCTTGCAAATTTTTTTTTCAATTATGCGTGTCTCAGGTTCATATAGAATATAGGTATGTACAACTGCATATATATATATATCTAGAATATGCTTAACTACTTGTCACTTCTAATTAGCCTAGTTGTCTTCAACTCATTTGTTTAATAATAATAAAATTGTAAAAAAAAAAAATATTTGAGAGCAGGTACATACATAATTGCAGATCACAGAAATTTAAGCCAAACATGTATGTTAGTTCACATCCACAACTGGTCGTAGAGGTTATCGCACTGTTCTTGTGACACATTTTAATCTTCGCTCACAATTAAAGCTAATTTTAAATAAACATGTCATTTAAGCTTGCGCATATGTAAATATGCCTATACTTATACATATATATATATATATATACATTTGTTTCTTTGTACACGTAGAGTATTTTTACTGTGTAGACATTTCAATATACCAAGCATTTAAATGCAAACAACAAATCTTCGAAGCAGACTTGGAGTCCATTTCCTAATCAGTGCTGACACGTATTTTAGCAAATGTTAACTTTGCCAGAGTTTTCATTAAATTGTTGCAGTCATTTATGGACAAACATATATAAATATACTCTTTTGTATATTTTGCCTAAGTGATTTATGCACATGCATATATGCCTACTAGAATTTCCCTCGTCTGCATGCAATTTATGAATGGTTCCAATGAGAGTTTTGTTCCTGAATAACGTTATTTAATTTAATATATTAATTATATAAAATAGAAATAAAAGTTTTCCACACATTAGGCTAGGCAAAGAGCTATCCATTCTTCAAATTTCACTCCAATCGGAGCATAAATATAATTTTCCCAGATAAATCGGTTTTTTGTATAAAAGTACAAAGTGTCACAAACATTATCCCAAGTTTCAAGTTTTATAACCCGCCGTCTTTGCCATGGCTTGACCGATGGCGACACTTTAAACGCGTTTATCTTAAACCCTCTTTATCGAAATCGGTAGTCAAAATTTCTCAACGACTTTTGAAGCGATCGAGTTCAAATTTTCCACGCTTCTTTTAAGCGTGTTTTTGTAGTTCCTGAAGGAAGGATTTACTTTATCTTTGATTTCAACTTATTTTTGAAGCCAATATATGGCCTAATTTTATGCTAAAAACAACATTTTTTTAAAAAAACGCAACGAAAAATTTAAAATTTTTTTTTTAATCTTCCTTCCTTTATGGGCAAGGAAAATTCACCTTCTTCAAGAAAAAATTTGGATATTTGATTTCAAATAAAAATTTAAAAATTTATCGTGACTACCGCGAAAGCACTTTTTTGTGGCCGGTCTACTTCACCACGTTGCCAAGGCCTTAACTCAGACTATTTTTCATTCAAATTTTCATCAAATGTTGTCCACATATTGTACTTTTATGTGTAAACATAATAAATTGTATACTTTATTTAGTATCTTTAAAAAAATTAGAGAAAATAAGCTTTTTTTTTGGCATTTAAGATCAATTTAATTCATTAATCAAAGCCAGACCATCGTTTCAATTCCAGGTCTATTTTGCGGAAGAGCAAGTATTCACCATATTAATTAAAGCTCAAAGCTACCTCAGTGCCAAAATGTATGTGAATATAATGATAAAAAATTATTTTTCGAACAGATTGGTCCCAAGTCCACTTTCCATATGAGAAAGTGTTTCCCATGTCAATTTAGCCAAAGGGGTATCTCCTGTATCAAATTTCATGAATATCGAACGATTTAAAAATAAATTTAATTAAAGAAAGGAAGTTCTCATACCGAAAAAATCTTCCTTTTCAAGTGTCTTTGACATATGCAGAATACACTAATAAAGTTTCAGATCGCTGCGATCAATGTTTTAGGCTGTAGATTGATTTGTCAGCCATTCATTATATATATTGTATTTAAATATGAGTGGTGTTATTTTGAAAATATAGCTATTGCTGCAGATGTCACTTTTGAAGGTGTCAATTTTTGATATTTGAAAAGTGAAAATAATAAAAATGGAACCATAAACATTTCAGAAATGCAATGAAATATAAAAAAATTGACTATTTAAAATCCATCGAAAAATCATCTTGACTGATGCACACCTTTTCCATATTGATGGCTACCGCAATAAACAAAACTGTCGCATGTGAGGCTCGGAAAACTTAAGATTTTTTGTTGAAAATCAACTTTATCCTCAACCTGTACTCAGTATGGTCCATCGGGGTCATTAAATCATACTTTCTCCAAAATGTTTAATGATTTTTTTAAGGCCGGAACTGGATGGTAATGAACTAAACAACGTTTAGTTTCAACAAGTCGGTGCTACGTGCCACATAAACCACGAAATTATGAATTTTTCAACAAAAAAGTTTCTTTGAATATCATACTAAAGCTTTAGATAGCCGGGTATCGAGCAGTGCCTGAAGTTCTATACGCGTTAGTTGCTCTAGTGCTCAAACGTTTGCTTTGTTTATCAGAATTCTTCAATAATTTCAATGACAATGAAGACAAATTCACGCACGGGAGTAGCCAGAATACAAAAACAAAAAGCCTATGCGTTTTGCTTGTTTAAACATAGTTTCGAAAAGTAAAAAAAAAACCTATTTCTCATGTATTTTGTTTGTGTAATTCGTTGAAATGGACGGAAGCACAAACAATCTTATGATGTGGTTGATTCACCTTCTATAAATTCGCCTTGCTTTCAATAAATACATTTAAATTTATAGAATAGAAGTTCTGAGAAAAAAATTTAATTTAAAATTATCTCAAAAGCTTAAATCGCTCGATGAACAATGAACGAGTGTGCGAGTACTCGTTGCTCAAATGCTCGAGCTGCTCACAAATATTCAAACAAAGCTTTGAACTCTGATATGTACATGTGTATATACAAACGTTGTGGATCGAAAAAAAATTAATAAAAATAAACATAATTTCTTTTTCGCTAACATTGAAGCCATAAATGTCTTCCTTCGACACCTTAAATCCACACTTTGCGTTTCTAAGACATATTTTATCTAACCCCATTCCTGCAGGGAATCTCAATTGCTGTGCTTAGCTCAAGTTGTCATACATATATACGTAAAACTCTATACTAATGCAAACTTTAAATATTTTAAGTCCTTAGCAAGCAAGATATTTAACGACTTAATTTGGTCAATTAGTAAATTTATTATTATTATTAAAAATAGTAGTGAATTTTTATTATTTGCAGTCTGAGGGAATAAAAGGATGGAGACAATTTATGTAATTTTGTTAAGCGGCCATTCTTGAACACGAAAATTATTATTACGTGCCATCGGAAACATATCGGTACCAGGTAGCAGAGGAAGAAGAGATATCACCTCAAATTATATAGCGCTGTGATCAGAGAGACGATCTTAGTTGATTTTAACAAGTCCATTTGAGCTCAATTAAATCTCTTGGTTTTTGAGATGTGTGTATATTTGACATATTGGAGAAATGAACTTCATACGGCTTATGTATTTACCTCGATCTGGAGCTTTTTAGTCAAGTTTTTTAAACCCTATAAGTTTTTCAAAATGTGGAGTGTGGATATGCTATGTTTATAAGTTTGTGTATCGAGACTGAAAATAGAGCAGCTCAAGTTCGAGCATAAAAAAAATCATGCTGGAAAAAACAAAACAAAAAAAAAATAATAATAATAACGAAGCAAGTTAGAGCAACTTGAAGCAGTCATGAAACATTTTTGGGTTAGCAAATTTCAAATGAAAATTTTTATCATTTGTATGGTAAACCAAATTTAAAATTTTGGAGAAATTTTCATATATGTATTTCTTTATAAAGTGGATAATAAGTTATTTGTTGTGCGCCGCGTGCATTCCTTTGGTATATATCTGCCCTCTTTCGTAGTATAATCTGTCTGTCTGTCAAAAAAAATGGTATTTCTTGCACTAAGTTACTCTACCAAAAAAAAGTCAGAGCTTTATTTCTGCTTAGAGCAGACTCAGGAAACAAAAAGTAGAGCAAATAAAAGTAAAAACAAAGCAAAAGGTTTTAGAAATAGTGTAGCCTGGCGTAACCTAGAGCAGCTCATCTAATGAAAAAAAGAAAACAAACAGAAAAAAATGCTGCTGCACCGGAAATCTTAAAGACTTGATTTTTAGATTTCAGATTTATTGAAAAAAAATGGGGATTTACGCTAAAGACTGGTACTGGACTGGAATGTATGTGCATACAAATGTATGTAAACTTGTGCGTTTAAACTATTTAACGCCGGCTGCTGTTTGTATTCATTATTTTCAATCTTGTTTGTATTATAAAACATATAGTCTCTGATAACCTTTAACATTACAGTGATTTACACGTACAAACATACATATATACGCACATCTAAAATTATGTACGAGTATATCTGTATGTTAATTCATATAAATTTGTATGTATGTACTCGTACATAGTTACATTTCGCAGCATATGGAAATCATTTGCTTCCGATTCAGTTCAATTTCTCTTTATTTTGCATATTTTTAGCAACAAAAATATTAAATTTCTGGAATTTTCAGCTGCAATAAAGTTTGAAGGCCAGACTACTTTCGTTTTCATTCATTTATTTATTTCAATATGTGTGTCGTAAGTGCAAGGAAAAGTGTTTAAATAAAACGCCTGATTGCACTTAAAAAATGTGGTTTTATTTTATTAAAGTTTTCTAAATTTAATATTTATAAGTGTTAAGTAGATCACACAGTGTTTGTTGTTATTGCTTTTTGGAATTAACTTACCTTCACGCACATAACTGTTGCCATCATAGTAGCAAACTAGGTGTGAGCTGCTCGCATGTTGGGCAGTAGCCAACGCCGCCAGCGACAACGCGAACAGCAAAATGACAAATTTCATTTTGTCAGAGCAAAAAAAAAAAAAATTTATATAAAATAAATTAACACAATATTTGTATGTTTTCAAGTTATTTTTTCTGTTTTCTTATATGTAAGTGTAAAACCACTCAGCGCTTGATTATGAACTATACGCTTCCAAAGTAAAACTGAAACTGCGAACTGAACTGGCAAGATGGCTTAAGTTAAAACTGGTGCGCCGTCGCGAACAGTCGAGTCGCTGATCGTTCGTTTGATAGCCGAGTAAGAGAATCACAGCAAAGTAAATATAGAAAACAAAAGCAATAGCACATCAGGTATGTGCGTAGAGTGTGTAGAGCCCAGCAGAAGAGGGGCTTTAGACATTACTATCATTGATTTTAGTTGAAAACGAAATTGATAGTCGAATAAAGTGAACGTTCAATGCGTATGTAGATAAGTCAATTGTTTTGTTTATTACTGTAATGTTTGAAAATAATAATTCTACGTGCACAAGTCATAAGCATCGAAGTCGGTTATTTTAATTATTTGGCAGCGTTTCTTAAAATTTATTTTTTAATTGTTTTATTTTTTTATTTTTTATTTTTTGGAGCAGCTCCTCCGTAGCATTAAGAAGATGTCTTATAGATCTTAAAAATTGCCAAATTGTTTATAAGGCAAAAGTTTTTTATATACATACTTGTATGTGTCTCCCATAAAAGGTGCGCTTCGTTCCGGCGGCTTTGTTGCTTTTCTTCAATTTCAATATTTTCTCTAACGTGAGTTTTGCTCTTGAACTTTCAGTTTCCTGTCAAACTGTCTTTGTTTTCATTTTTAACCTGGCGAGATTCCAAATTGTTGTTGTTGTCGTTGATTATTTTGCTGCCGCTTATTATGTGACAATGTTTGTTAATGAAGTTGTTTATTTGTTGTTAATGTCTCTTTGTTGATGTCATCATTGCCGGCACTGATTTTTAAGCACGTAAAGTGATATTAATTTGTTTTTATTTTGAATTTTTTCCATCGACTTTTTTCCGGTAAACGCTTGTTTGTAAACATTTTCATACTAATATGTGTGTGTATGAGTATATTTATTTATTTTTATACCAAATGCATGTAATCGCGAATTGAAATTATTTTTGTGTGTACTTAATCATATCTATATATTATATTAATATGTATATAAATAATATAAAAGGCTTTGCCCTGAATGACTGGCGGATCAACCCACAACCTAAGCCAATGGAAGCCTGAAAATTTGAGGGACGTAAATCGACTTTATTTTTATATCGTTCGACATACATGAAATTTGGCAGAGAGGTAGCTGCCTGAATTGTTTGAATTGACACGGAAAATAACTTTCTTCTTGATATATCCGATGAAATTGGATTCATGGTTAGAATTACATGATCTTTGGTACATGACTATCAATTTGCCTAGTAAATACTTAAATAGATTTTCGTTCCGAGAAGTGGTACTGGGAAAAATCTGTTCGAAAAAGTCGTATTCATGGTTTGACCTACTTGATTTTTGGGACTAAGTGTGGCTTCAGACCTGGTAAGTGAACCATTGACTAGATAACTTATGAGGCCATGTAAGCTGACGCTAGACAACACCAGAAGCGCAGTCAGAAAGCGAAGGACCTCTGCGAGCCGTTTGGTACCAAACGAGGTTTCAGACAGGGTGACTCTTTGTCGTGTGATTTCTTCAATTTTGATGCTGGAGATAATAATAAAAGCTGCAGAGCTGAATAGAGACGGTACAATCTTCTAGAAGTGTGTACAACTACCGGCGTACGCCGATGATATTGACATTATTGGCCTCAACAACTGCGCGATTAGGTCTGCTTTTTCCAGGCTTGATAAAGAAGCGATGCGAATGGGTCTGGTAGTGAACAAGGACAAGACGAAATATCTCCTGTCATCTAACAAACAGTCATCACATTCGCAACTCGGCTCCCACGTCACTATTGAAAGTCAATTTTGGACTTCACCAGAGATAGAGTGTCGTCATCAGTGGAAAATTTTGCTCAACCTTCTCGGGGCTCGTGCTCTACGGAAAAATATGAGGTCTGGAATCTTAGGAATCACTCCGAAATAGTCTTTAAAGATTGTGCAATCGTTCCATATGACATGGGGAATTTCCGTTTGCGTTGGTGGTGAAATTTCGTCGGACCTATCCTCAGCTATCTTGAGCTTTCTCGTCTCCATCTTAGTCTTTCGTTCCAAAACTTGAAAGAAAAACTAATAAAGTAATTTCAAAGGATTTGGTAATTTTAGATTTAACCAAAACAAATTGAAAGTCACCAACAGATGGAACTTTTGTTAATCCCCTCGTTTTTGTAATTAGTACTTTCCCTGTATTAAAGGAAAGAGAAAGATTCTGTTTTATAAATTTTTAAACTTCTTAGCGTTACGTTATGAAAAAATTAAGTGCGTCAAAATCCAATTAAAATTCTTTTTACAACCTCTAAAATTTCATGCGGAAGGAGTCGTGGACAAAATCTTGTACATATACATATGTATACCAGCTGCACCTGCAGCGCGTCGTTGTCACATACACTCCTTGAATGTATGTAAAATTAATTAAATCTTTTACGCAACACTTTTTGAATAAGCAGGTCCCCGGTCCACTTCCCGTATACCGATTTTGATGTAAGCCAAACCATTCATAACTTTTTTTCAATTAGGTCAGTCCCTGGTCCACTTCCCAATATATTTTATCGTAAAACTTTTTCCAGATATCATAGAAGCAATCGGGCAATATTTCAAGTCAATTGGACTATTAACTTTTGGAGATTTTTGAAAACTACTGGATTTTCCATGCGGACATAAGATTTTTTATTTATATTGTACGATGGTGGAGGGTTGGAGATTCTTAACTCACTTACTACTTTCCTTGCGTTCCTTTGGCATAAATTTTTTGAAGGCTTATCTCTTTCAAATTTTGGCCGCGGCTATATTTCAGATGGTCTATCCGTTGCGATTACGCGTTCGAGCATTTCGACTGGTGAATGACATGCGTGATGTTTTGTTCCAGGGCCTATATCGATGCAGGATTGTCAGCATAGGCTTTAGGCAGGAAAAAGTGAGTCTTGGTGGCCAATTGACCAGCTCAAAACGTGTAAACGAAGTGTTCTCTCAATAAATGCATTAATTGATGCGATGTGTGGAAAGTGGTGCCGTCATGCCAAAACCAAATTTCACCGAGATCACGAGTTACAATTTCCGACATCAAATAGTTGGTTATCAAGGCGAGACCGGCATAATAGTTAAAGTTGTCCGGTTATTTCACCTGCCCATAATCCACACCAAACCGTTGTTTTTTCTCGATGAAATGGCAGCTCTTGAATCTATTCAGTTTTCTCTTTGCTTGTCTGCATACCCATCGAGCCGGAAATGAATCTCACCGATGAACGAAACTTTGCTCGAAAATGTCGGATCTGCTTCCAACTTTTCAAGGGCCCATAGGGCGTAGCAACGTATCCTTGGGCAGGTCGAGCGAAATCAGTTCTAGCATAAGCTGTATTTTGTAAGCTCTCAAATTAAAATCTCGACTTCTCCAATCTGTTCCAGTCCAAATTGCTGCGAACAACACCAAATCGACTCCCCAACATCTTCGTATACACTTTCAGCTACTGCCGTTATATTTTCTTCATTGCGTGCTGGGCGTGGTCTTTTTGGTCGAATATTTTCCTACATTGAATCTTGGATCTCAAGATGGGTGATAGTGTTGCGAACAGTACGCTCAGTAGGCTGACTATGTTGACCACAAGTTGTGCGAAGCGCGGGAAACATATTCTTTACAGAATGATGAAATGCCAAATAATACTGAACAAGGGTAACATGGCAGCGAAGACACGACTCACGCGTGATCTATAAAAAAGGCTTTTGAAAAAGGTGCCTCTATAAATTTATGTTAAGTTTTCAAATGTAGTTGGGAATGTCAAGCCCTCTGAGTGTATTATGACGTGAAATAAAGGCTCCTCAAAAAAAAACAACCAAAGCTTTCAGAGATGGCTTAGAATAGACTGTAGATACCTTTATTTTGTAGGGAAAAGTCATTTTATGCACGGCCGAAAATCACTTCAGCGGTTACAAAGCGCCAGTAATATTTAAAATGAAAAAAAAAGGATTTCTTTTTGCTTTATTCGTATATCAAATAAAAATATGTACGCTTGTCTATGCAAATATTTTTTTTCTATAAATATTTGTTTTTCGATGCACCAAAATGATCATTCGGATTCTTAATATATGACATTGTAATCTGTGAAACAATTAAGGTGTGAATCGCTATTACCTGGTCGCTTTTCATTCCATCTTTTACTGTCTTACTAAGCGCTTAGCCTGTTTAATATGGATTGTATGAATCATTGTTTTGTAAAAAGCGATTGTGGCTAATTGATCTGGTTGATTTAATAAGCGATCTGAAATCAAATGAAAATGTGTCATCAGAAGTCTCTGTGTATGTGTGTTTAGTAAAAGGAAAAGTGAGCGGTTAATTAAATTTGGCTAATTTACTAAAAAATTATACAATTTAGTTTGCCAAATCAATTAAATATGAATTCGAAAAAAAATATATTAATAATAAGATACTTTCATTTAGCTTTTTCAACAAAATATTCTACTACCTTGCCATTGGTGCTGATGTTTGTGCATTGAATTGACAGCTCAATAATTTCGCTTTAGAAATATTTATTCTCGTTGTGGGCTTTGCTGAAACTTTTTCTGCTGCATAAAACAATTGACACGTCATTAAACTCGATATCAATGTATTCACGTGATAACTTTGCGTGCCAATGTGTGTGTTACTTGCAAGTGTTTGAATGGTAAACGCGTTTGTTTAAATTAAAACAATTCTCTCTATACTAAATAACAAATTTTAACCGCAATTTATGAAAACAACAAAAAGTATGAAACAATATTTTTCAATTGAGTTTGTATGTATGTATGTACATTCAATAAAAAAGAATGATTTTGAGGATTAATTAAAATAACCACAAATTATGTATAAATTCTTGTATCGGTATTATTGGCTTTGCGATTGGTAATAGAAAGTATTTTAATACAACTATGCCGCGCGCAGCTTATGGCATTAAAATGAAAATCTGTTTTATAAAATATAATATAAATTAATTAAATATAGCAAATCATTTAATGAACTAAATTATGACTAATATAGCAGTGCTGCCATACATAATAAGC